AAAAATATATCACACCAAAAAACCCCTGACATTCTAACATCTGCAGGTTCTGCCCTGCTGGAACACTGGGTTCTATTAGAACTGACAGCAAAGCTGTGGTGCCTGAGCTCTGCCGAAATATCAGTACATGTGGAACGCAACATGATGACTTTCTTAAAGGGACACTGTCTGTCTTTGGTGGCTTTATTCACTGACACACAGCTCTACACCCACACACTTTGACCCCCCCCCCCCTACTACAGATCAAATATATTCACACAAACAGAGCTGTGCATTTAAGGACACACACAAACCCCCCTGCATGTTTGTCCAACAGGGGGCATCTAAGTACAGCAGGGCATTTGGGCTTATTTGAACAGATATACACTAGAGTGTGTATGTATACACACACACACACACAGGCAGCATATTTACAAAGGAATCACTCGTCCCTGTGCATTCATGCTGTCTCCATATACTGCTCTATGGGAATCTGCCCCCCCACCCCCCCCCCCCCCAGTTCTTTAAATAGGCACAAACTGATGGGACTCTTGAGCCTGAAAAGCTTCCTTTCTGGATAAAGAGGAAGAGAGAGAGAGACAGAGAGACACAGAGAGAGACAGAGAGACACAGAGACAGAGAGACACAGAGGCAGAGACACACAGAGACAGAGAGACACAGAGAGAGACACAGAGACAGAGAGACACAGAGGCAGAGACACAGAGAGAGACAGAGAGACAGAGACACACAGAGACAGAGACACGCAGAGACAGAGGACACGTCCAGGTCAGGACACTCCTTCCATTTATGACATGAGAACAAAGTTACATTTCTCTAGTTTTCCTACTGGACAAACACCTCAGGCCTGGGTTAAAGAAGGCTACAGTAAACAACACGTTTTTAATCTTATTTACTTTGTTTAATCAGAATGACGTCTATAGTTTTAACAAATGTTCTTCAGTTTGGGGGGGCGTGTGGGTGGGCGTGCGGGGGGGGGGTTAAAAGTCTGTGAGCACAGGTTTGACTTCATCACCACTGGACTTGATCCACGTTAGAAACATAATGGGGGAGGAGAGCAGTGTTCCAGATGAGGGGCGGGGACCCTGGACTGTCCTGATCTGACTTCCTGTTGATTTGATTTCTCTGCTCCACATTTGACATTTGAATTTATTATGAATTTATTCAATATCCCTGATTTTATTTCACATCAATGACATGGTACTAATATTTTGGCAGAATAATAATAATAATAATAAGTCTTTCAGTGTTTTGGTTTTTTTCGCACAAGAATTTAATTTCGGTGCAGAAGTTCTCTAACCTTGAACTTTTAATTTTAGCAGCAAATAATTAATATCACTGTACTGCAATATTACTATAGATTTAGAAGTACAAGTACAGACAGTTTAGTGTACTGTGGTTGTAGTGGGACAGTGACCTCAGGATGACCTCAGGATGACCTCCTGAGCCTAAACGTTCACTTCAACTGCAGCGTGCCATGGAGACAACAGAGAGTGACGCTGACCTCAGCTTCCTGTCCTCTGCTCTGATGTGTCAGGCTACAGGGCCACGGGTGGCTCGCGGGCCACGGGCACATCTGTCTGAAGCATGCGGAACAAGGAGAAACGGACCCACATGAGGAGGCGAGGACAGACAAAAGGGCAAAAGAGGGTGAGAGAAGAGGAACTTCACCCAAAATGTGACCGATGAGTGTGACTTCACCAAGAACGCTGTGAGGAAATGTTAAGAAATGTTAGGAAATCTGAAGAGTTTTGGCAGCCGTGCCATTTATATGAAAATATAAGTGAAAGTTTCTCACTACCTGACTTCCTGTTTGACATTCACAACACAATGGAAGACGCTTTTAAACATGAGGGATGATGTGTCAACACTGCACCAATCACCAGCCTCGTGCACAAGCTTGAGTCAGACCCGTGTCCCCTCCAGAGACCCCCCCCCCCACATCTGTCTGAAGCAGAAATAAGACAAATGTTGCTGAACATCACGACTGTTTGGCCAAAAAATATCCATGTTAAAGTTCACAGGCAAAAAAACAGGCTTTTGTTCCAGTAACTTGGGCTCAGGTTCAGTTTTAGGAGAATTCATATTCTATAAGTCTAATGGTGTTTACAATAAAAACTTGTGTTTTTAATTTGCTCCATTTTAATCTTCACAATTCCTTCTTTGTAGAATTCTGGCCATGGCACCAAGGGTTTCAAACCTCTGGCCCCAGGAGAGATCAGATCATATTAACATCAGATTAACAGCATATTAACATCAGATTAACATCAGATTAACATCATTAATATAATATTAAGATCATATTAACATCATTAATATAATATTAAGATCATATTAATATTAAATATAATCATAATTTTTCAACATGTTTCCATTCAGGTTTGGTAAACACAAACAAAACTCTGAAGCTGCTCATTATTAAAGTCCGACAGAACTGTTGGACCGACCTGAGTCTAAACTGACGTCATGTGACATCATGAGCCCTGAGAGTCGCTGACGTCCTGGTAAACTAAGGTGACATCATCAGACGCCATCTCAACCAGGAAAATGATTTTCCTTTTCGGCTGCTGTGTTCAGACGTCAGCGCTCTGTTCCACGGCCTCCAGCTGCAGCGGCCGTGTGGGCGCCAGTCACTCACCTGTGATTGAGTGTGTGTGTGTGTGTGTGTGTGTGTGTGTGTGTGACCTGCTCTGATGTTGCCAGTCACTTCTCACATGGAAACCTTTTTTTTTTTCCTGAAATATTTTCTCTCTACAACAAGTCCTTGCCACAGTGTTATGGCAACATAAAATATATACATAAAACATAATATATATTTATATTAAGTGTATTTAAAGTAATTTAAAATGTATTGTAAGTGTATAATTTTAAAGTTTTACTGAATTACATGGAATTCAGAGCAGTTCCTAAGATACAGTTGTTCTGCCTGAATTATCACTAACTAATATTTAAAGTTTAAATTACAATTGACATTTTACAATAAGTACTGGCTGCTCAGCTTAAAAACTCATACATTTATTGTATACAATTCACAACTCAGTGGTTACAGCACTGATGGTTATTCATAGTTATTGTCAGTCACTTTAAACATCTATTACTCCACAGCTTTTATTAAAAACCAGTTCCTCTTTTATAAAGTTTGGATAAAAGCAGCTGAGAAGAGACTTTCCATGAGTTCTTTTCAAAAGTTCTTCATATTAACAGATATTTTGAATTACCAGTCTACAGGTGACATATTTAAGAATGCACGCCCAGAGCAGGCCGGACACCAGAGTCTAGGAGAAGTTCACGGACGTCATGAACCTCATCCAGAAACTGACGCAGTTCTACACCCACGGAAAAAAAACTAAGTCTCACATGGAAGTTGTTGGTTTTTGTAAAGATGCTCAGAGAAAGTCTGTAAATGTTTAGAATCAGTTGAACGTCAGCCGTGCGGTGGTGCAGTGACGTGCGTCGTAACTGCCACAAACAAATCAATTCCTGCTCTCCTCAAAAACCCAGATCTACCGTTCCACGCCAGGTCAAACAGCGCTTTGTGTGGAAGTATGTTGTCCACTGTGTGTGTGTGTGTGTGTGTGTGTGTGTGTGTTAGACATGATCGGGCCGTGTGAGGGACAACATAAACACTGCACGCTATCTTGCGACACTCCTTTCATTTATCATTTATAACAACAGAGTAAAGTCCAACTCTGTCTGTCACACACACACACACACACACACACACCTTCCATTTTGTCATTGAATACACAGCCTGAGCAGAAACAACAAGTGGACTTTTCCAGCGGTTCTTTTTTGGGAGACATGAATCAGTGATGTGTGACATCGTCACGTCTGTGTGAAAGCGTGCGTTTAAAAAACACACGAGACGATGAAGAGAATTCTGAGTGTGATGTTGCATTTCTACCAAACCAGCAAACGTAAACTGCAGCGTTGACAGGAAATGAAGACGTTCAGTCTGACAGCGACTGTATCAGTACGACTGACACGATGTGCCCTACACCCTGGAGCGACTGACACTGAGCTGATGGTTGGATGACTGATTCAGCAGATGTTTTTGAACTCATCTGATTCTCTGCATCCAAATTATTTTTTTACACAGAATGTTTATATTTTTCTGCATTTTGCCTCAAATAACAAAAAAAGTAAAAGTTGTCCAACATCTAAAATTGTGTTTCCGTAACTTTTTTTTTTGCTAAAGTCACAGAGTATTCTGTTTGCCCAGATTTTTTATAGTAAAACCATTACGATTAGCCAAAGTAGCCAAAGAAATAGCCACACTTTTGAGTAATGGTCAAGAAAATGTTTGCTAACATTTTTGTTTTCAATTTTAGAAAGTCATTTGGTAAAACTCTTTTTTTTTTACCTTCCAAAATAAAAAAACCTTTTGACCGTTTGATAAAAATATGGGCCATATTAAAACCATCCATGTGCCACTATTGGCCCGCAGGTCAGACTTTGACCATGCCTGGTGTGCAGATATATCTGATGTGGAGTTTTGGTAGTTAGAGACAAAAATGTACTTTAAAGTAATACCTAACCTGACGTATGGAGGATGTACTGCGCAGTACTGCAGTAGAAACACACTGATAATCCTCACTGTGTCACTGACACAGTTAGCAAACTATCACAAAGGTGTTGGAAAGATGAAGGACTGGACGGACTGACAGCTACAGACACAGTCACAGACACAGCCGTAGTCCGTCTGCTACAACACACTGATAACTTCTCCTTTCATGTTCCCTCAACACAGATCAGTGAAATGTCATCAAAGGTCCACACGCAGCCTCAGGAATTATTCAGCGCTGATTCAGGAGCACTCGCTCAAAACTGCTGAGTCACGGACAACATCTTAATCAGTCAGTTAAAAATTGCTGTTGCGTAACAAATCACAGACACACACCCACACACACACACACACACACAACGGTACGTGTTGTAGTGTTCACTCACAGTGGAAGTTGATTGAGTAAAAGGAGAAAAGCTGAATCCAGAGGTGAACTCACCTGGAGACGAGTGAACACTGTGAAGACTACAGTCTCTGTCTGCTGTTGACATGTCAATCACACTCACCGCCTCTCACACACACACACACACGCACACAAACTGTGAACCAGCAGTTGACTGTCTGCCACTTTGTGAGCCCAGTGGCTACAAACCTCCCCCTTCCTCCCTCCCTCCCCTTCCTCCTCCATCACCAACATCATCACTGAGATGATGTCACAGACCAGGTCAGAATCACCAGTGACACTAACTGTAATATTATTACACTTATTACTATTATGACTTCTGTCAGGTAATTAGTAACAACTAGAGAGTAGTTTGAGGATTGGTAGAAGTAGAGTTTTAGCATCAGTAGCAGTAACAGTGGCACCTGTGTGGTATTAGCACTAGTTTAACCAAAACTACCACCACTAGCTATAGTAGTTATAGTAGGTTAGCAGGAGTAACCGCATCAGCTTTACTAAGCATTTAGTATTTAGAGTATTAGAGTATTTGAGTACTAGTAGAAGTACAGTAGTAGACCACACGCACGCACACACACACACTCTCTCTCTCTGAACTAACCTCTCTCTCCCCCCTGAGGTCTCTGCACGTCTCCCACTTCTTCTCTTCTCTCTTTGCTGAAAGGAGCGCGTGCGTCAGCTGAGGGCGCGTGGTTCTTCCACACGTAGCGTCACGCAGCCTGCCGCGGTGTGCGTCTACAGCGGAGGTTTGCGGTCCTCCGGCTGCTGCTGCGGCTGCTCCTCTGTTGTCCTCCTCCTCCTCCTCCTCCTCCCCTGTCAACGCAGGACTGTGGTGGATCCTGAGGACGCATAGCGAAGGCATCAAATTACCCCCGCGGTTCAGAGTTACCCTGACCCCCACTGAGCTGAGCTGCTCCGTCACAGACGGCTATCGGTTTAATCATCACTATCAGATTAGCATACAATAACGGCGAAAATGTACATATAAATGACGTAAAACGTTAATTAAATATGACATACTTCACTAGTTAGTAACCAACACATGGCTCTTGGGCCACATTTGGGCCATTTGGCAGGTTTATTCTGCCCATGACGTCAATATTGGAATATACATAATATCAATTTTTCCCCTTTTCTTATTCCTTATATTGACTGCAGCTCTGTGTCTTTTTAAAAGTGGAACATGTTGGACCGATCGGCATGTTTTCACACTGTCCTTAATTTACAGACGTCACAAGAAAATAGACCCAGTAGAGGGCGACGATGCATTTATAATCCAAGAAGACAGAAAAACAGAATTAGCTTAGCCAGCCCTCGAAGGCTGTGGAAACCACCTTACCAGTGAGCGGACTCCGGTGAAAGAATAACCAGGACAAAAATGACGTTTAACATCTTTATCGAACTTTCAGAAGATACTGTTACAAAGAAATACGGAAACTACAGCCTTTTTTTCTCGAACGCTCCCCAGCGAGGACCTCTATTTTTACGAACCTCAAACGAGATGCCTGAGTAAAAAATACATAACCGATAAAGCATCTATTTAACGATTAATTAATAATACTTTAATCATGCTAATAATAATGATATATTTCATGGGAATTTATAACAAAGACTATGTGTTAGTCTTTATATTATTTTTTGTTTGTGTGGCGTAACATTTATTGTTTGACTTTTTAGGCAGCCTGTGCTACACCCTGGCTACATTACAACCATAAACTATGTCAGCCATATATGTTGTTTGGCTATTGTTATGTATTGTTAATTTATTGGTCTCCAACTTATGCAGCAGGGCATTAGAACTGCACTGATACCCCTACCTGCGGGGTGTAGCGCTAATGCTAACGGAATTAGCATTAGCGCTCATGAAATACTAACACATACAGTATATCCAGACTTCACTGTCGGTTCATTTGTTCATATGTTAGTAGAAAAAAATGACCTTTTTTCTCACAGAAGATTTTTGTTTGAAGAAGTTTGATTGTTGTTACGTACATTTAAACACAAACACACCAATTGTTTAGCCTAAAGTGAAACATTAGTTAATATATACATACATGTTTACATATATACATAATTTGTATTCTCCTGTTTGTTAGTACAGATATTTAGACTGTGTACTGTGTTACTGGATGGTAACTAGTCTAAAACACTAACATCTATAATATAATACAGTGTTTTTCTTAAACTGTCTGTTAGTCAATGTTCTTTTGTTTAAGTTTATTGCTCCCCCCAGACTGAACACTGTTGATGTCCACAACGAAATTTGATGGATCTGTCATGTATAACTTGGCCGTGTGCTGTTGAAACCACCGCACATTCTTCCCAACACATTTATCTTGAACAAATGATGGATGCGTGAGGAGTGAATGTGGGGGAGGCACGTGAACTGGGAGTGTCCCTGGGTTGGTCCAGTCAGGTGTCAAATATCTGTCAAAACGGGAGAAAGTTTGAACGTGAAACATCAAACTAAAAGAAGCTGAGGAAATGTTACAAAAACAAAAACAAAAATTTCAGCTCATGTGAATTAAATCTACATTTTTTCATCTCAGTGACTCGTTTCAGAGTCGTGTTCAATTTTATCGACCTGTTCAGCACTTTTTGAATATAAATTTAGAAGAAAAACGTCCTAATCTACAAAGCAGTAGGTTTTACTTCTTAAAGGAAAACATCTGTGTGATGTAGCACCTTTCATACAGTAGAACAGGCATGGACAACCCGTGGCTCGGGAGCCACATGTGGCTCTTTGCCCAGTTTCATGCGGCTCTTACACACAGCCAAACGAATATATGAAGATGAACACAGGAAGTTTTTGATAGAGATGGAGAGGGGTTTTTTTTATTGTAATGGCAAGTCATTGTGCCTTATATGTCAGGCATCATTAGTGCATTTCAAGACTTGAAATCTTCAGCGGCACTTCAGTTCACTCTATGCTAACATGGACCAAGCATTTTCTAAGGGGACTCATTGCAATAACACGGTGAAAACACGGTGAAAATTGTGGCTCTAAGCCTTTGACTGGTTAGCCACCGCAGCAGTAGAAGTAGTAGAAAGGTTTCAGGTTCGAGTCCACCAGCTGCCAGGTTACCACTGAGGTGCTCTGAACATTAAAGCTGCTCCCTGCTGGCTTTGGTGATGGGTTAAAAGCAGAGGTCACATTTGGTTGTGTGCAGTGGTGCAGTTTCACTTTCCTTTCCTTCCTTATGACCCACCCCTGTTCAATTTTGGGACGATTGTGGCCTGCGAGTCAAAAGTTTGGCCACACCTGTTCTAAACGCTAGCTTAAACATTCCAACTTAAATGAAAAAATAAAATAAAATTTCTGACCAGGATAAAAACTTATTTGTGTTTTTGAAGAGATATGTGTAAAATAAATAAATAAAAATAGAATGATGTTTATACAAAGGTGTTGTTTATATTTTTTCATATATTCTATTTTCTGAATTTATATATTTATTTATTAAGGTGTGAGTTTCCATGGGCACTGGGGGCTGGGGGGTGGGGGGAACTGGCACTGTCACCCCCCCACCCCTTAGCCCCCAGCGCCCATGGAAACTCCCACTGGCACCGGTCTGACGGCTGATTCACAGTTTTCACAGTTTCCAGTTTTTCACTGTGTGAATATAGTATGGATGTGACTAATTCGACTGGAACTAATGAGAGGAATATGTTGGTATTTACGCACGTCAAATTTAGCCCAATAGAATTAAAAAAACAGTATAAATTTAGAAAATTAAATGAAAATCAATGCTCCCAACAAAACAGAGAACTGGGAGCAGCCGTAAACATGTAAACAGCACTGCTTCACTTCAACATGGCTGACCCTCAGCCTAACTCCCCACGCACCACGTCGTTGTGCTGAACTAAGAAAATAAAGGGACGCTCGTGAGAGTTGTACTGTCACAAACAAACATGTCTCAGTGTTTATACAGAGGATCCCAGCAGACCTGGGCTCTGAAGGCTGAAACTTTTTATCTCCATCTTCATCAGCGCGGGCCACTCCGACAAAGTCATCACACAATGAAGAGTAAATGGAAGTGGAATCTACGCCCCGGGGAGTGAGCTGTTCCAAATCAGAGTGCAGTGATTGGAAAATAACCTTTGACATCAGTGCTGCAGAGATGCTTGAAATTCCACCGTCCAAATATAAAACGGTTCAAATTGATCTTGTGATCCTAAAACCCCGAGGATTTCTCCCTGAGTGTGACTGGTTTGCTGCAGCCCTAAAATGATGATGGGAATCTCCTCTTACTGATTCTCCAGTGGACCAGGAATGAAGTACTGTAGTACACAGTACACTGTACTTACTGTACATGCACATAAGAAAGAATAACTCGTAAATGAGGCCTGGCGTACATAACCTGCTATGTCTGGAATCAAACCAGCAAACCCAGAGACAGAAAACCCACTCCTCAGGTTTTCCATCTTTTTTGTATCAAAGTAGAAACCGTCAGATTCAGACTACGTTTATAGTTCATGTGCACTGTGTGTTTTCGCACGTATTTGGTGCCATCTGCTGGCGAAGATCATATAGTCACCTCCACTAACAGACATTCGGTCTAAATCTCGGCAAACAGATAAATCTGTCCAAATCTAAATCAGCTGATTAATCAACAGAATGAAGTCTGTAATTAATACGTGAAACCAATCAAACAGATGTGATGCCGTTGTAAACCTGCTTCTCTGCCGACACGAAGATGACGACGCACTGACGTCAGCAGAATCACACTCATGACGGAACCACACGTTTAATAACTTTAATCTGCACGGAGAAAAAACCATCACCGGTCACCGGATCATGCAAAGCAGTTTTGCATCACATTTAAAAACACAATACAAAACAGAAAATATACTTTACCATATATATGCAACCTCGAAAAAATAAATCGGTATATTAGAAAAAAATACACTCCTGAGGTGAAATATTCACACACACACAAATACAACATGTTATCACTGACTGGCAACATAGTACTAATGGTACATGGTACAATACAGCAGAGACGTGTATTTGTTTTTTTACACACACACACACACACACACACACATACACACATACACATACATACATACATACATACATAAATACATATACATATATGTGTATATGTATTTATATATAATCTTTAAGTACACAAAAGCTGTAACTCATCACTTTGAACATGGCATATTACTACAGTACAATGTGACCCGGTACTTCATCCATGAAAGGAATCTTAAGTGTAAAGAGTTTGACAAATACACAGGTCTGACTGTAGGGCTGACTGTAGGTCCCACTGTAGGTCCCACTGACTGTAGGACTGACTGTAGGACTGACTGTAGGTCCCACTGACTGTAGGACTGACTGTAGGACTGACTGTAGGTCCCACTGTAGGTCCCACTGACTGTAGGACTGACTGTAGGACTGACTGTAGGTCCCACTGTAGGTCCCACTGACTGTAGGACTGACTGTAGGACTGACTGTATATTTACAGCAGGATGATGCACAACAGTCGTGTCCAGGTGTTATTGCACTACTGTCAACAAGGTACAGTACTGTTGAACAGACGGGGACATCAGCAGCAGCCTGAGTCCTCAGGTGTGTGTCAGGTGTACCGAGGAAACAGAACTCCGTGGCCATTTGCCAAACTTTGCACATGATTTGTTGAAGATGAAGCTTTTTTGGAACTCGGAGCTGATTGTGACAAGGCTCTGTACCAGAACTGGGTTTTGATTGGTGAGATAAAAAGGCTCGGGGACAACGGCAGGGGCGGGTTGTTTTGTTTTTTTTTTAATGTGGGGAGAAGGGGGGGGGGGGGGGGGGGGGGGCTCCCATGAAGGACCAAAACTGAAGTGCTGGATTTGAAAAGGGTCAAAGGTTATTTTTGAATCATTTCGATGTTAAATAAAAGGTTTTTTCACTACAGTAACTAGAAAGTTTTACTGGATTGTTCTGACGTTGGCTTTTCTCCATTCAGAGCTTTATATTTATATTTATATTTATATTTATAT